GGCACCTGAAACTCCACCTTCTACCACCTATGCAGAAGCCTCTCAGCGGGCTCCGGGGTTGCTCCTCAATGTTCCCCTTACAGTTGCGTGATGTGAGGTACTGCGCGATTATGCCACAGTGAACGCAATCACTACCTTCATTTTTATTATTATTATTATTATTGTTGTTGTTGTTGTTATTTTGCCATCACAGACACAGCTGCTTTTGCCATTGGCTTAGTCCTGCCAGAGGACAGATTCCTAGGAGCCAGACTCCTAAGTAAGGGGGCTGAACCTAAAATAGCAAGATCCCGCTCAGAGCTCTCACAACCGAGCAGGTAGAAAAATCCGCACCCCCGGAGGCGAGGGCGATGCCGCCCAGTGCCAGATCAGAAATCCCCGCCGACCCCTGCGACCCCACTTATCCCCCGCGGACCTCGATTTTCCACCAGAGTTGGCCGAGGGACCTGGAGGGCAGTCCTCGCCAGCTCCCAGCGGCTCGGCGGCGCCCGGGTGGCCCCATCACCTCAGGAGCCTTCTTACCTGAGGCCCAGCGACCACCATCTTCCCCTGGCTCCGCCCAGCATCCATCCGCCAGGTATCCGCGGCCGCCTAGCAACCGCGGCCACCCAGCGGCGCGCCGGGAAGGCGTGACCCCGGCGTAGATCTACGTCCGGAGCGACGTGATGACGACAGGAGGGGCGACGCCAGTTCGCCTGGCGTGTCGGGGGTAGATGTGGTCTGTAAGGACCAGTGGGGGACTGTACCATTACTTTGTGTGGGGGGAGTTGGGTTCCATTCTTTTGAGAGGTGAATTCAAACTGGATGGTGGATTAAGGTAAACCAATTTCACTTTGTTCTTTAATTTCAAGTCTTATTAAAGACATTAAAAAGGGACCCATAGGCCCAACGTGGCTTCCCCTAGAGCGAGAAGAGTGAAGGACTTGGGGGACGCGGGGCGCCCCAGCGCGCAGGCGCAGGGCGGCAGGGCCGGTGGGCGTGGCTTGGCAGCTGCAGCCCTGGCGCGGGATCAGACGCTGGGAAGCCGGCTGCTTCAAAGGCGCCTAGGGGAGGCTTCGGGGAAGTCGGGGCGACTTCCCGGAGGGAGGCGGGCAGGTTTGGGGTGAGAAAGTAGTACCAGGTGTCTCATTGGTTATTTACCCGCATCCCTGAACACCACAGGGCCAGACCCCGGAGGTGACAGTGACCCCGCGGGACCCCTTGCTCTAGGCGACCCCAGGCAGGAATTTAGACCTGGCTGGATCAGACTATGTGTATCTGTATCTGTAGATACACACACGCGTGTGTGCATGTGTGTGTGTGCATATATATGTATACATATATACACATAAGTATATTATACACATTGTATAAATATGCACATATACATCCATATATAAAGCGCTCCCCAGAGCAGAAGTGTGAGGAGACTGGGGGAGGGCGATCGGGCACAGGAATTACTTATAGGACAGACCCATCACAGCATACAGATTGTCTTGCCATCACCCGTGAAAATGACAACCAGAAAAGAGTGCCACAAATAGGCCACGCCTCTCCAAAGGTGTGCTCCCCACTGCTCTGAGAGAGCCAGAGTGTGGACCTGTCTGCCATGCTCAGATGGATACAAGTTGAGACACCACCCCCACCCCCACCCCCCAACAGTTTTGAGTCACATTTATACTGCTTACAATCCTCAACATGTACAGAGGAGGAGTTTTTAAGATTTTAAAACACACACCTCTTGTTCCCTTTCATATCCACTGTCACCATAAAGTCAAGAAATACAAAAAGGATGATTGAGAATTCTCTTTCTGGGTTTGCTGCAAAATTGGATGGATACTGTTTGCACTTAGGTATGTAAGTGGAAGTGATGCAGGCTGTACCCAGGTCTTGGGATCCTTATGCCTGTGTGTAGTTGGTGTTTGCTAGAAGACGTAAAAGTGTACCTACCTAGACCAATTCTCCCCGTTGGAGGTTGTAGAAAGAGAAGGGTTTTAGCATAGGCTAAACCTCAATTCCTGGCTGTGCCTGGTACCAGCTGGGTGACCTTGGGCAAATTGCTTAATATTCCTGAGTGAGTGTTTCTGCTCTGCAAAGATAACAATTTCCAAATGCTGGCTTAGGTGTAGCATGGCCTATCACTACCCTAATTTTTCTTCATTTTTATTTTCTATGCTGGTGAAAATTTTGTGATTTTGCAACTGTAGGACAGATCCAGCTTTCAGGTGTTTCACAACCCACAGTGGATTGTGCCCTTTCGGAAGTACTATCAATTTTCTTACAGTAACACTACTTTTTATTATCATTATTTGCTTTGGGAAATTTTGGCCTCTCCCTCACCATGTTTCACATTTGCCAGGTTAACAGACACCATTAGGATGAAAATAAAATCAAAAGATAACAGCTCTCTCCCCCACCCAGCTTTGATGACTAATGATCAGTGTCATTGGTCTTCTGTCCTTCCAGCTTCATGGCCCATAATTCCTGGGGCAGGGACTGGGTTAACAAAAATGAAGGGGAAGAGTGGGAGTGAGTTCAAAGGAAAAGGCAATGAAACCGCCAGCACACACGTGTGTAAGAAAGTTCCTCCCCAGAAGTGCATGGGACTATGGTGATGGCACATGGTGACTCAGTGATGGGAAACCCATGGGATTACAACTGAGATGGAAAAAAATGTACAAAATGATGTAAAAATAAACTGTTATAAACTGTTATATTATTTTTTAAGTCAAAAAAGAAAGAAAGAAAGTTCCTCCCTATTCACCAACCAAAAAGCTGCCAAGACCACCCTGAGGTAGGTGATGAACCACAGGTTTGTGAAAGAACTTTTCCCCTGAAATAGGCATCATGGGCCATTCTACAAGTGCAGTGTCCTGGTGTCATGAGGCTTATGTGCTCATGTCCTGCCCAGGGAGAATTACCTTTGGAAATGGCTAATACTGAACACATGGTGTCCCATAGGTGGCCAGAAATTCTGGTCACCAAGCCTGCACCAGCCTCCAGACCCATCAAAACCCTGGGCTCTCCATGGCATTATACCTGCCAAGCATATGGATGTCTGAGAACACAGAAGAACTTGGCAGCCAAACTCAGGCTATGAGCTTTGAGTTTGTTTGTCTTCCCTTCAAGACCCCATTTCTCACCACTTAGTTTATTGCAGCCAGTTCCTGCCTGTAGTTTAGAGATTTTTAAAAAAGATTTATTTATTTATGTATCCATGAACTAGAGTACAGGCCAGAGGTGCAGAGGGTGAGGGTGAGACAAAGTGGGGAGCAGAACCTTCCGATCTGCTGAGGGGAGCAGCAGGTAAGACAGGAGAGGTCTGCTGCACCATGTGGGTGAGCTCCCCGGCTGGGGATCGAACTCATTTTTAGTGACTGCAGAGAGCTTCATAGTGCTGTGCTTTAATGTATTGCACCATCGGAAAGGGACTCTTCATTAGAAATTTTGACAGCCATTCTGCTTGGACCTTACAGCCAGGGTGAGGAACAGATCAGCACTAGGTCACAGGGGAGCCCCCTGGAGCCAGCTCATATGGCACCATGCCCCAGCTCTCAACTATATTAGCAATGTGAACTCAGGCAAAAGAAAACTTCTTTGACTCTGTTCATTAGCAAAAAGGAGATAGAAACTGATAATAGACTTGAAATAATAGCAAAGAGACTTACTTGGCACTGGCAGGAGTTCTCAAGTTGACTCTGGCCAATTAAGTAAAAAACAAGAGTGTCCAAAGAATCAGAAGCTTTCAGAATCATTGGGAGAACCAAAGGACAGGGGTCAGGGCTTACCAGGTATGGCACTACCAGGGCACTGAAAAGACAAGGAAGCTGCCACCACCAAGTGCTATGATTTGCACTGTTTCCAATTCCACACCAGGAACTCTGTGTCTGGGGTACAACTGCCTCAGCTATCACAAGAAAGAAAGCTCCCATCCCTCCATGGGGGCAAAAATCGGGCACCGTGCATCACGCGGTCTCATGCCTGGCCCTTGCTGCAGGGAGCCTGGAGAGTGGCATCTCAGCTACTATAAATGCAAGTAGTTATTCACCTTACCAAGGCTCCTCAAGGAGGAGCGTGCCAGGCAGGCACACCTAGTAACAAATGCCCATTACCACCCACAGCAAAGAAAGATGCCATCAGTGTAGAAAATGAGAGGATGAGACCTTTAGTCTCATTACATTGCTGTAATTTTGTTACAGGGCACCCCAATGTGAACTGGGCTACCTGTTTGTGGGTCCTCACCTGCACACCTAAAATTTTTGTTGTACTGCAGGCACACACAAAAGGGTCAATAATGGGTTTATTTACAAAAGGGGAAAGGAAAAGGAACAACCCAGGGAAAGAGATAGATACAGGTAACTAGAATATCTTAGCTGCTCAGCTGACTTGAAGCTCTAATAACAAACTAAGCAAAAGCCCTAAGTCACACCTTCCAGAGAGCTGTTGCCCGAGTGAGAGAGTGCCTAGAAAATGGCGCCCTATTTATCCCCAAAGTCCCAGAATGCCTGTTTAGCTCCGCCCTTGGGTTCTCTCCCTGGTACTGCTGGGAGTTGTAGTTTCCAATCATTGGAGTAGGGAGTGAAGTCCAGAAAGCTGGAGTAGAGGGTGGAGTCCACAAAACTCTGCAGAGTTCCTTTACGACATCCTTCCCTTTAACTATTTTACACGTTGACATCAAAATCCAAGCACCCAGAGGCCTTATATTGAAGAGTGCTGCTTGCCCACCCACGGTTTCACCTCCCTTGTGTCAGAACCTGTGTCAGTGGGGCAGTGATGCACCTCCATCACATCTCCTGGCCTCCACTGCAGGTGGGGTGGGTGTCACACGAGATGTCAGTAGAAGTCACTGGAGGGGCTGCCAGGCACATTCTGTAAAGATGCCGGTTTGTTCTTTCGTCCTTTTTGTCTCCTCGGGACCCAGAAGTGGTGACTGGAACTCCTTTAACCATCTCATAATAATGCAGCAACCCTAAGATTAGAAGTCACTGGCCAAGAATGGCAAAGGTACAGAAAGCCTCTGCCTGTGAGCTGCCCCGTGGGACCAACCCACGTCAGGGACCTATCTCCATTTTCCTTTCGTTAGATGGACAGTCGGTTACCAGCAACAGAAGGCCTTTCCTTGAAGATACCAGCGGGCATCAGCAGCTCCATGGGATTGTCTCTTCTAGCAGTCTAAGATGGTGTCCTCCTCGGGGGCGTAGGAGAACCCCTGGAATGCACTCGAGGACCCCAAGCTGCTGGCTGTGGTGTCGGGAGTGCAGCCAATGGACCTGGACACTGCTTCCTGGGTGAACTCTGGATCAAAGTGCTTCAAGTCAGCAGGACCTGCCTGTGGGTATAAGCCAAGGATGGTAAGGGAAGCCTGGGGTCACAGCTGCCAGTCTGTGCACCCCACGGACACCTTTCACTGTCACTTACCCATGACTCGTGCAAGTTTTATTCCACAAGGCCCAGGAACCACATGCCAAGTCCTCTAACCCCTGGCACACTGATCCTTAGATAAGCCTAGTCAACACATGCCCATGAGCCACCTCCCATGCGCTGGTCATGGCCCTGGGCATAGAGGGAAACTCAGTCGATGCACCCCTGCTTTCACGGAGTTGTCAGGCAGGAAGTAGGATGACAAGATTATGCACAAATAGACAAAAAGATATGCAGACAAGTAGATATTTGGGGTGTTGACAGGTCTTAGGAAGAAGATAAAGTAGGATCATCTGGATTATCTCAAGCAGCTGTAGCTGCTTGAGGGGAAGACCTGTGTGGGAGATGGCAGAAATGGTCACAAATTCTTCCTTTCCCGTTCAAGCTGAGGCTACTTCTCTATCTCTTTAATGCGGATCAGCCATGTGACCTGTTTAGCTCGATGGGACAATTACCAAATGTGACGCAAGCCGAGGCTGCAAAATATGGGAAGTTGTTCTCTTGCTGCTCTTGGAACCCTGGGGCCACGTGTGAACAAGTCCAGACCAGCCTTCTGAGAGCGAGAGGCCTCATGAAAGAAAAGCTAGTTCCCAGATGCCTGCCAACCACCAGGGACGGGGATGGGGCAATTCTAGGTCCTCCTGCCAGCTGGCCCACCAGCTGACCACTGAGGAGGGCCCTGCTGGCCTGGTCTTGGGATGGGCCCACCCACCCCACCCCAGCTGGCATATGGAATCTGAATGACGTAAAACACTGTTTTAAGCCATCTGCTTTTGGGGTAACCCGTTAGGCAGCAGCTAAAGGACACAGCCTCTCTGTGGAGGAGGTTCAGTCTGTGGACAAGACTGGACCCCCTGGATTCGATGAAGTAGCAGTGGAAAGGTGTCTGATCTGCTTTCCCTGCGAGTCTTGGGCTGTGGGACCTGATAGGCCATGGTCTCTAGTTTTCCCCAAAAGGAGACAGGGGCCCCAGCCCACGCCAAGTTCCCAGACCAGAATGTAAATCCTGGTTCTGGCCTTTGATAGCTTGTGTGCCTCTAGACAAAGCAGGTGTTTTCTGGATTTTTAGTTTCATTTAAAAAAAAAACAAAAAAACAAATGAAGACATTGATTTAAAAGAAGCTTATTCAGTCTCCCACACGGTAGGTGGTGGGACCAGGAGGCCCTCCACAGTGTGTCTCAGTCGAAAGCCTACATGCTGCACCTGTGACCTCCCTGTCTAGTACTTTGCATGCCATTCTCTCTCCAGGTTGGATGTTCAGTATTCTCCTCAGGCTCCTTTTCAAATCCCCCAATAAAGAAACCTTTCAGGTATCTGGACTGAGTGTATCCTTTCTGACCACTATGGGCAAAAATCTGGCATGTAAGGACAAGTTCATGAACGTTCATGAATGTTCACCAAGGGAAAGAGGAGCCCACGGGAGCAGTGAGGTATGCAGCCTGCTTGGATGGAGGAGGCTTGCACAACTTAACGTTGCTCTTTACAGTGACCGAGAGAACGTCTGTGGTCTACCTCCAAAGGGGTGACTTTCACTCACATGCCATGGCTAATGAACATTTTAAAAGGAGCCAGAAACCACTGTCAGTAGAAAGCATTATGGCTCACACTCCCCAATACAGTCAAGGAAGTATGAATCAGGAAGCAAAATAGTACAAACCAAGAAAGTGAAGAAGTTCACCTTCTTTGGTCTGGGAATGCCCCATCAGGAATCCATCTTAGGGAAATAATCAGAACTCTGGGCAAAGATAGGTACTTAAATATGTTCATTATTATATTACAATAAAGGAGGAAAATAACAACCTAAAATTTATCATTAGAAGCAGATCTGAGTAAGTGATATTATCCACAGAGGGTGGAAATACTATACAGTCAATAAAAATGATAAAGTTTTGTATGATTTGGGGATCTCATTGGTTTTTATCACAAAAAAGGGAGAAACTGTCTATTGAAAGTGTGGTTTAACTATGCAAAAAAAGAAAAGCGAATGGAAGGAAACATGACTAGAGCAGTAAGATTATAAACTTTTCCTTTGTTTGCTCCCAACTGTATTTTATGCTCGTTCCACAATGAATGCATGTCATGTTTACTGTCAGGATAAATGCTAATCACAGAAAACAGATTAAAATAATTTCACAGGGTGTGACTCTGTGGTGTGTATGTGACTGGGAGCACTTGACAGATGGCCCAGGGCCCAGCAGGGAGGGGTAGTGATGGTAGAGATAAGTGGTCACTGGCACCATACACACAGCTGAACTGGCAGTGAGGCTTCTGGGTTCTACATCTAATTCTGCCTTGAACTTACTGTGTGGCTTTGGACAAATCATGGAGCCTCTTTGGCTCTCAGTTTTCCCATCTGTAGAAAGAATGTTGTCCCAGATTCCCTCCCTCCCCCCCGGAGTTCCACCAGCCCTGGGGATCCCAAGAGTCCAGAATATGGTGACCTTACCACGTTTGGGTTGAAAGGAGGGGTCAGCCTCTTGTGGTACAAGTCATCCCAGTTTATGGGGCTGAAGAATACATGGTTCTTTATTTCAAGCTGCAGGAAGAAGGTGCTGATCAAAAGGTAGTCTTCCCCAAGACATCCCACCTCACCCCTAAGGCCGCCGGAACCCCAGCTCTACCAGCAACTGACTGTGCACATTTTTTAAAATCAGATATATTTTTAAGATGTAAATTTCCACTTCTTAGGAGGGGTCTAGTCTTCGCAAAAGTCCTTTTCTTGAATCTTGTCAGTGAGGGAGGAGGCAAATGCTTTAAACGTTATACACCATAGTATCTGGCATGGAGGCTGATGGTGCCCAGGCTTTGAAAGCACTTACAATGTGCCGGGCACTGACTGTAATGCGTCGCAGGTGTTCATTCGCTTGATCTTTGTGCTGTCATTACAGATGAGGAAACTGAGGTCACACAGAGAAAGGTTAAGTAATTTGTCCCAGTCCTGCGCTAGTAAGTGGTAGCGATTGCAGAACACAGGTCCTCGGCCTCAGTGCTGGCATCTTAACCTCTATGCTAGAAGAGAAAGTGAACTTCTAGGACAAAAACACCCTGATCTTCTTTTTAGAAACCCAGATTACCTTTGGCTGAGTAAAGAATGTTAGATTATTTTTAAGGTGTTACTTTAACTAATAAATAAATACATAAACAAAACCCATCAACGTGTTAAGGGAACAGACTCTGTGCCCAGAGGGCCTTGCTTGGGCACTAGTAAGGAGCATTGCTCAGACAGAAAAGAAAAACAAATCCAGTCCATTCTCCACACAGAAGCCATGGGAACTTCTTAAAACTTAAACTGGGTCTGCCACTTCCCTGCTCAAAATACACCAAAACTTGCCAGTCTGACCTTGTTCCACAGCAGGACATTTGCACATGCTGGGCCCCTGTGTCTGAGGCGGCTCTTTGTCCTCTTTACATCTCAGCTTCATCATCACCTCCTCAGAGAGGACCTCCCTGATTGCAGGTGTGAACTCACCACCTCCTATTATTGTCCGTCTCACCTCATCGCTCACCTCTGTCTTCCTATTTGAACAATCACCAGTGTTGTCTGCTCTCCCCGAACAAACTCAGTAAGAGAAGAGACCCAGTCGGTTGAGTCCTTAGCACCTAGCACCCAGCTCAGTGTCTGGCACACAGTAGGTGTCCAGTAAATATTGCGGATTAAAAACTGAAGAAAGTTATCCACAGCAGCAACTGAACTTCCCAATGAGGGAGTTAGCAGCGCTGGGGGTTAGCAGCTGCTCCCAGCAGCCTCTGCAGGAAGCCGAGGCCCCCCAGGGGCAGCGTTCTGAGGGCAGGTCACCTACGAAGTCGGTCTTGGAACCCAGCCGCTGCCTCTTGTCCTTGTGGAGGAGGCCTTGCAGGAGGTCACAGGCGGCCACAGTCCGGCCCCCAGGGATCTGTAGTGGCTGGTGCAGAATATTCTCGTACATCTCAGACACATCTTGGCTGTAGAAGGGTGGCTGGTGAGAGAGGGAGAGATGCTGGAGGATCATCGTACTGTGGGCTCGGGCCTCAGGGAGACTCAGAAAAGCAAAGCCCAGACGGGGCCAGACCCAGGCCTTGCGCAGTGACTGTCACAGGAGGTTGGAGAGAGGCAGAGACCTCCGGGCTGCCAGCGGGGGGGTGGGGGGAGGAAGTGCTGCCCAGAAGGAAGGCCAAGAGGTCTCTCCCTCCCCGTGTGAGGCCTGCAGACTGCCTCCTCCAGAGCACCGCCAACCCATCTCCCTCCATCCAGCTTAGGCACTAACACTGCCCTCAGTGAAGCCAACGCTTTCCACTTCATCTTTCAGCCCAGCTCCCCACGCTTCTTCAAGACAGGCTGCAACTTCTCAGAAGCGATTCAGAAAGAGAGCGGTGAAGGCACAGGGCTAGGAGAAGAGCCAGACCCCAGCTCTGGGCAGAGCCCGCTCTCTTCTGGGCTCTTCCTCAGACCCAGCCCCTCCTGTGGACTCCAGAGCCTGCCCTGGAGCTGGGCGGGGCGGGGCGCTGCAGGGGGCCCAGCCTGGGCCTCCACATGGCAGGCTGTCAGCCACGGGCAAGGGGCTGGCTCCACCACCAGCTCTGTGACCGCTCTGGACCTCAGTTTCCCTCTCAGTAAAATAAGAACAATGCCTTTTCCTGCAACGCCAGCCTCCCAGGCTCTTTTGAGGCATGAAAGGAATAACAATGCGTGAGATGCTGTGCTGTGAAGTGCTGAGCTCACATTACTGAAACAGAGATCGTCATCCTGTGCATTCAGGCATTATCTTTTTTAGCCTGGAGTGGAGCTCAGTGCCCTGAGCAAAGCCGGAGCTACATGAAGGAATCCTGCGGGCAGCTGCAGCCCACTCACCAGACCGTGCAGCATCTCGTAGATCACTGCCCCCAGGCACCACCAGTCCACTGCCCGGTCATAGGGCTCTTTCCGAAGCACTTCTGGAGCCAAGTACTATGGAAGGAAGCACACTTCTCTGAAAGGCCCCGTCTCTGTCTCCCCATTTGTAAACAAGGCATTTGGAGGAAAAGGCCACTGGGGGTTGATCCTGCTTGATTTTCATTGGGGGGCTGTGCTCTGGGCAGCCCTTTGTCAATGTGCTGGAGACAGGAGAGGGGCAGGGCAGCCTTGTACAGTTGTTCGTGTTGTGCACTGTGCAAAAGTACTGGCTGAAGGGAGCAAGGGGCCTGCAACCCTGACTCGGACCAAGCCATAACCCGAGTACAGGGCTAGCTCTGACAACTTTACTCTTGCTCAAAAGAGTGCCTTTTCTGATTAGTCTGCCTAGAGGGATGCCTTTATCTGGTTTGCAGAAAAGCATCTAGCCAGTGTCCTGGGAAAGGAAAGGCCTGGTGGTAGACTGAGTGCAGTGAGGAGGCTGAGAGTAAGGTGTAAGGAAACAGGGCACGGGTTGGACCGGAGACCTAGTAACAGCCGGGTGCAGTGGAATCGGCAGAAAGGAGGTGACACTTGAGTTCACAGTGACAGATGAATGCCTGCCCAGTCCTGCCACCTCCGTCCGCTGCCCACCCCAACATCTGTCCAAATTGGGAGCCCCTTGAGGCTCAAGATTCAAGGTTTAACACTGATGAGCGTTCAAGGACCTCAAGGCTGCAGGCGGTCTGGATAGGGCAGACAGACAGGTATGAATTATTGCTGAGACTCATAATTTTTAACACTCCAGGCACTTGGCGATTGGAAGAGGGGGGTGGTCCGGTGTTTTACAGTAGCAGGCCCTGATCTTAACTCTCACGGACTTCATTCCTGTTGGGCAGTGGTGTCCAGCAAGCAGCCACTTGCTTCGTGAACATTTGAAATGTGGGACTGAACTGAGCTAAGATGGACTATAATTGTAAAATACACATTGGATTATAAAAATTTATGCTGCCCCCCAAAAGAGAAAGTATCTCTATCTCAACAATTATACTGACTGTGTATATTGAAATCACATTATTTTTTATATTGGGTTAATTAAAATATAGCATTAAAATTAACTTCACTAAAAAAAAATTAAAAAAAAAATTAACTTCACTTGGGCACAGGGGTTAAGTCTCAACACTGTGGAAGCTGCCCACAGCCCCTGCAGCATGAGTTCCATCCCCGGCCAGGGAGTGACCCACAGGGTACAGCAGGCCTCTGGTCTCATCCGCTGCTCCCCTCAGCAGTGCATTTCAGTACACCTGCCTGTTCTGCCCCCCACTCTGTCTCTGGTGAATCCTTTCACCCCCACACCTCTGGCCTGCACCTTGATTCTTACATGTGTAAATAAATAAATTTAAAGATAAATAAATAAATAAATAAAATTAACTTCATTTGCTCCTTTTTATATTCTCAAGGTGGATGCAGGACATTTTTTTATTGTATACCAGGCTTGCGTGTCTATATATTTTTTAAGATTTATTTATTTATGCATACAGAACTGGGGTACAGGCCAGAGGTGCAGGGGCGGTGAGAGGATTCACCAGAGGCACAGCGGGGAGCAGAACAGGCAGATTGAGGAAGTACACTGCTGAGGGGAGCAGCAGGCAGGTCAGGAGAGGTCTGCCGCGCCATGTGGGTCACCTGTGGGGCGGGGATTGAACTCACACTGAGCTGGCTGCAGCTGGCTTGCAGTGCTGCGTCCTCACTCGTTGCGCCACGTGTCTGCTCTTACGTCTCTGGCCAGCATTGCTTTCCAGCTCACCAGCCAGTAGCTGCATCCCAGCAGCCTCAAGAGCTCCCCTCACACAGGTTGGACAAGGCGAGCCAGCTCAGGGGATGTGCTTGGTGAGCGGAGCGAGCCTGCTCAGGGGCAATGTGGTCTCCCCGTGGAGTTTACCTCGGGGGTGCCACAGAACGTGGATGTGGTCTCCTCGGGCTCGACACCTTCCTTGCAGAGGCCAAAATCTGTCAGTACCACATGTCCCTGAGGAGGAATGAAGAGACAGTGAGGGGGGCCTAAGTCAAAGGAGGACTAGGCTCAACCCCAAAGCCCAGAGGCTGCACCCCAGGGCAGCAGCTGCGGGGGAAGGCCAGCGAGGGCCTCTCTGGCACTCCCACGCAGGTGAGCTTGCCCTCTGCCTCACCCCGCCTCCTCACCCCCTCAATGGTGGATCTTTTGAAAATGTCCCCCATCCCCTTCTGCACCCAATCCCCCACCTCTGAGTTTATCGCCACGGAACCCAACCTAAGACTCAGAGGAAGGACAAAGCTGTGAGCCCCCCTCAGCTGCCTCCCTCCCCCCCACAGTCCTCTCACACACAACGGGGCACACAGGAGTTCCGTGGCCACAGCGCACACAAGCACGTGTGCACACACACACACTATGGCCCTGCCCGTATGAACATGTGTGGTGTGTGTGCACACCCGTACATGCGTGTTCTCGGGCACACAGATGTAGCCACCCACACACCAACCTGGCAGTCCAAGAGAATGTTCTCTGGTTTCAGGTCCCTGCGGGAGATAGAGGAAAAGGCACTGTGATGTCTCAGCCACTTAGCAAGGAGACCTGGGGGCTTGGGGTCCTGGCAGGGGAGTTTGCGCGGGGCTCAGAGATGTGGGGGGAGAGCCCCATGCAGACGGCCCTCCGTCCTGGAGAGGTGGGGCTCCTCCTGCTCCTCTGTGGGTCCTCTTCAGAGCGTGACCAAGGTCACCACCGAGATTTCACCCGACCGAGCCGTCCTCAAGTCCTTGACTCTGAGCCACAGCCAGCCTCACCTGTAGATAATGTTGAGGGAGTGCAGGTAGCCGATGGCGCTGGCCACCTCAGCGGCATAGAACCGGGCCCGGGGTTCCAGGAACCTCCTCTCCCTCTGCAGGTGGAAGAAGAGCTGCAAGGAAGAGGTGGTGTGAGAGGGTGCCCTGCACGCTGGCTCCCAGAGCGCAGGGGCAGGGGCAGTGGTGGGTGCTGACCAGTCACCCCTTCTCTGAACTGCAATTCAGATGCAAGGGATGCACCCCCCGCCCCCCGCCACGCAGAGCAGCGTGGGCGACCAGCGTCCCGGGAGAGACGAGTGGCAGGGACCGAGCGACTGTGTTCCAGGACTGCACATCTCTCATTTCGTTTACTCCTCGTGACAAGCACAGGTCACATGGCGGGGTCAGTGGCCAGGGCCCGTGGGCCATGTCAGGTTGTTCTTGGCCGATAGAGCAGGGACTGGAAACTGGGTGGTTCAGAGGTGCTTTTCCTCCCACCCAGGCGACAGGATGCTGATGGGCACTTAGGACTGCAGGACAAAGCTGCCCTCTTGGTATCTGCAGTCACAGAGGGCAGATCGGGTGGGGGCAGCGGGCACGTACAGGGCCACCCAGCCTGGAGAGCGAGCGAATCCCTCTCCAAGGAGTCACTGTGCTTCTGCGTCCACTGGTGGCCTCAGCCTGCTTACTGCAGCCGCCGGTCACCTACTGTGCAGCTTATGGTGTCATGTGGACACTGGAAAGGCTCAGCGCACCTCTAACGGGGGCCTGGCGAACCTGTGGGCAGCTCACCACGGGGAAGCAAGAGCAATGGGGCTCGGCCAGGGCAGGCTGGTGGTGGTGAGCAAGGGGGCTCACGCCTCCCGGGGCCACTGCTCTTTAGCTACAAGTGGTCTGTGCAGGCGCAGGGCTGCAGGGAAGAGCCGGCCCGGACGCCCCCGCGGCCCACCCACCTCTCCACCGTTGACATAGTCGAGCACAAAGTAGAGTTTCTCGGGCGTCTGGAAGGAGAAGCGCAGGCCCACCAGGAACGGGTGGCGCACGTTCTTCAGGAGCACGCTGCGCTCCGCCATGATGTGGCTCTGCTGTGAGGTCAGACGGGGATGGGCACCGCCAGCGTAGGCCCCCCCACCCCCACCCCCGGCACCCCGGCACCCCCAGCAGGCAGCCTCACCCTCCCTCCCACCCAGGACCTGCTCGAGGCCCTGTCTAACATCCCCTATGGCTCCCGGGTGCCCACAGAGCCAGGCCTGGCTCCTTGCCTAGCTCGCGGCCTGCTGGTCTCACTCGCAACTGCAGGCAGCGCCAGCCCCCTGGTTCAGAAACCCCTGCCCTGGGGTGACAGGCGAAGCCTTAGTGATTCTTGCGTAAACAAATCCCAAGAAAATCCGTAAGAAGAAAGATGTCATGCTTTATCCACATCCATGCTGTTTCCCTGCCTGGACACCCTCTCTCATGCCGTGGTATCCCTGCCTTCAAGGCCACCTCCCTCACAGGGACCTCCCCTCCCCAGCCCAGATGGCTGGTTAACATTCACTCTCTCTCTTGAGTTCTCTGACTTGAAATTCAACCTGTCTCAGGGCTGCTGAGTCCTCCTCAGGGGTGGGTGTTGAGTCAAGTCCGCTGAAGCATCTAGAACTCCAGGAGGGCCGTGATGTCCTTTGCACCCAGACCCAAGCCCTGCTCACTCCCCCCCTCCCCCCCACACACAATAAGAAACCACCCTGGATAGGGCCGGAAACGCCTGTGCCCCTCTCTGGTACCTCTTTCTTCTTTAAGATGGACTTTTTCTGCAGCACCTTCACCGCGTAGAACATTCCGTCCGACTTGCGCTTGGCCAGTAGCACCTGCACAGAAGCACAAGCGCAAAGGTCAAACAGCTTTGTGCCTTCTCTGTACCCAGGGCAGGGCACACTTCCCAGCACCGGCCCTGCTTCTGTGCTTCTGCAGGCCGTGAGCGTCCTTCTTTGCACAAGCAGGTGACAAGTGGTGGGAGAAGGAGGCTGGTCACTCACCTTCCCATAGTTCCCTTTGCCAATGACTTTGAGGAAGTCGAAGTCGGTGGGCCGGGCGCTGCGGGGAGACAGAGGAGCACGTGTCTACACTGGTGGGCTTGGGGAGCCTGGTACCTGAGCTGCAGTCCAGGCTTCTGTTTAACTTTGAAGCTGGACGGTACAGGAGTGTTCCAAGAGCCAAGGCTTCCTGATGCTCACCAAAGGCCAAGGTCTCCCAGACAAGCGAGGGCTCATAAGCCAAGATGCCCTGGAGATCTCTCAGCAAATGTGCAAAGGGGAGAGAAAGCACTTACAACTGCATAGAGGGTACGGACCTGGCCCCCCAAATCTGAGAAGGCCCTGAAGGATGGGGACCTGCTAACAAGGCAGAAACTTGGGGGACACTGCAGGCATGGGGCTCGGCAGGCTTAAAGACTAGAGAGTTAGAGGGAGATAAACTGGGGGGAGGGTCCTGAATACAAACAGCAAAGGGTCTTGACGCCAGAACAGAGAACTTTTATTTCATTCCCCAGGTCCGGGGAGCCAGGGAGGAGAGAGGATTGAGGGGCCAGAACTCACTTTGGATTGGCTGAAGGCCCCAGGTTGATGTTCCCATTGGCCCTTGAAGGCTAAAGACAGTTCCAGAAAGAGGTGATTAACATCAGCAGGCTCTAGTCTGTGGCACCACCCCCCCATGCCCCACCCCAAGCCCTGTTTCCTTGACCCCTTCTCCATCACCCCTACCTGGCTTCTTTCCTCCCTCCCTCCCTCCTTCCTCTCCTCCTTCCCCTCCCTCCCTCCCTTCCTGCTTTCTTCCCTCCTTCCAGTGTTGGGAGGCTGCTAGCTGTTGCGCCAATTGCCACTTACAAGAGTGAGGAGACTGAGGCCCCCAGCGGAGCTTTCCAAGGACTTGCATGCAGCCCACAGGGGTTGGAACCCAGCAGTGCTCACGCCATGATTTTCCCACCCGCTGACTGCTTGAGAACCCTGGCAAAGCTCTTCTCTAGTAACCGGCTCTCATCTGGGAGCTCACTGTGACCCTGCCGCTCCTGTGCAGCCCCCTGAGGCGCCATGGTGCTCAGCGCCTCCACAGACCTGGCAGGGAGGAAGTGAGCCCGTGGTGGGTGGGGACCAAGACCCACTCACCTGAGGACTGGGGCTCCCGGCAGGGCTTGCGTCCATTCTGGGAGGGTGACCGGTGGGGTCTGCACACAGGAAGGAACAGGTGTGAGAGCTGCAGTTAGCTTCACCTGTCGAGGGTGAAGGCACCGCCGGCCGCCCCAGTCCTGTGCACCTGTCACAGCCTGAGCCACCCCAGGCTGCAGGGACAAGAAATGCTGCAGGGCCCAGCGCTAACCAAACATCTCAGGAGGGAGGGAGGATGGTCAGGGCTGCTCCTCCCAGGCTGAGCTTTTCAAGGCCGGGACAGCCAGGGCAACAGCTGCGAGCCACGGCCCTCAGAAGCCCAGCACGGCCAGGGCTGGAAGGACCTTGCAGAATATAAAGTCTCAACCCCTCCTTTGGTCCCTTTCACGGTGGGGAACCTGAGGCCTAGAAAGGAACTTGGCCAGTGCCACAGAGCTTGGGGAGGAGAGCAGGCCGAGTTCCCCAAACAGGAGTGTTGCAACCATATCCTCCTGGACGGAGCCCTGGCCAAGCCCTGCCTGTGCCCTGGAGGGGCAATGCCCTGGGGGTCTCAGGCTGGAGCCAGGAGAGACCCAAGAGTGGACAGCGTCCATCTGAGGTCAAGCCAGCTGGTCAAGACAGCCAGGAGCAGTGTCTTCCATGGCCCCACCTTGCTGGCCAGCACGCCCAGGCCCTGGCTCAGCTGTCCAGGCTCCTCTCTCCCTGCCACACACTTGGAAGGTCAAAGCCAAGAGATGAGGTATCAGAGAGAGGCCAGAGCTCACGGGAGCTGCTGGGACCGTGTATCTCAAGATCACAGCTTGGCCCGCTGTGAGGCCTCAGCTGCTGCCTCTGGGAAGACTGTCGCATCTCACAGTGGGGCTGGGAGGCACCACCAGTGTCCTTCTTGGGAGCGGAGTGGGCAGCTGCAGGGGGAGTGGGAGAATCCCCCAGCCCAGGCTGTTCTGAGAGGCCAACCTCGGGGCGCCCTAACAGAGCCAGCAGAATTGCCGGAAGCGGATGTGCACCCTGCTTGCAGCCAGCACCCCCAATCTCTGCTGCCGCTGACAGCCAGACCTCCCCCCTCTCCTGGGCTGACACCCTTGTACCCAGCCCTGGTGGGCCTCCCTGGCACGCCCGTACCTGCGCAGCCTGAGGAGAGGTCACTGTGAGAACCAGCACTTGGCGCCAGAGGATGCGCTGTGGACAAGAGAGACTCTCTCTGTTCTCCCAACAAGGGCCGAAGTGTCTGTGCCTGGCGCCGGCCAGGCCCCTGCGCCCAGCTCGGAACTCCCAGCAGGCAGCGGCGAGGGGGCTGCTGATGTCACTCGGGATCCAGCAGAGCTTAAGAGGGGACCGGAGGCCTCTGTTCCCTCGGGGACATCGCCTCTCCCTGGGGGTGGGGAGAAGGGGGTGGCCACGGCTGCAGGAGGCCCAGAGACACATGGGGCTTGTTAGACTGAGTGTGGCTCAGGGGTGTGGCGCGGGGGGTCGCGTGCAGGTCTTTCCTGCAGAGATGTGCATGAGGCCCCCAGTGTCAGTCTGTCTGTCGGTCTGGCGGTGGACCTGAAGGTGTCTGTGCCAGAGAGTGAATGTGTATGCGGGTGGTGGCGTGTGTCAGTGTCACCACCCTTCTAAGCTGTTGTTCGTGTGTCCTTGCAGCTGTTGCCGTGTTCTGTGTGTGTGCACTTCGATGAGTCTATGTGGTGTGTCAGTGTGTATCTCATTTATGTTTTTAAAAGATTTATTTATGCCTACAAGAACTGAGGTACAGGCCAGAGATGCAAGAGTGGGGGAGTGAGAGGACTCACCAGAGACAGAGTGGGGAGCAGAGCAGGCAGGTTGACTGAAACACACTGCTGAGGGGAGCAGCAAGCAGGACGGGAGAGGTCTGCCTCGCCATGTCGGTCAGCTCCCTGGCTGGGGATTGAACTTGTGCTGCAGTGGCTGGGGACAGCTTCATAGTGCTGCATTTTAACCCCTTGCGCCACTAGGGAGGCCCTTAGTGTGTATTGTATATATGTTAATGTGCTTGTGAGTATGTGTGGGTGCTGATGGGTATGGGTGTCTCTTAATGTGTGTGGATATAAAGGTCCTAGTCTATATTATCAGTAAGTGTACAGGTGTGTTCTCTCTGGGAGAGAGAAGACATGCCCACCCGACCCAGTACAGGCCATCGGGCTGACCCGAGGTCCTAGATGCCTCGTCTGTGGCCGCTGAGAGCACTCTGCCACCTAACACCTGCCGAGACAGCAGACCCAGGTGTCTGGCTCAGTCCAGCTGGCTTTGGTCTGTCTGCTGAGCGCGTGACTCCTGGGCCCTCCCCGGCTGGCCCTCCCAGGGCTCTGGCCCGCTGTCCCTGGGCAGGCTTGGTTAGCCCACAGCTGTGTGGCTGGGCAAGAAAGAAAGCAGACTGCCAGCCAGCATTCTGGCTTGTGAAGGTCTTGCCGCCTGCTGCCATAATTAGCTACTCACAGGGTCCCACCTGTCCCCCAGAGCGCATAAGGGGTGCTCTGGGGAAGGATGGCGTTGACAAGCCTGACACAGCCCCTGCCCTTCTGGGTCACATGCTACAGCCAGACCTCCACAAGTCACCACAGTGCAGGGACCCGTGGGGAAGGTGCTGGAAGCGGGTCGGGGAGAAAGACACTGACCCAGTGGCCTCGGGCTTCCCTGTCAGCTCCAAAGTACAGGCAAGAGGGGGGTGTCAGTCAAGGAAAACCCAAGTGAGCAATATCAGAACCTCCCATCTCTCAGCAAAATAGAAATGTTGAACCAACACACAGATGGGCTGCATGTCATGTTGACAAAACACAAACCTGGAACAAGGACATTTCTTTCAGCAACAAAGCCCTGCTGGGCCTACAGTCCGTGGCATTGCGTAGAGGAGGGACATGATAGTGGGACCCTAATGACCAAAATGTCCCTCACGGGACACTGCAGACACCCCGAGCCCCAGCAACGCTCTCTTGTCCTGACACCTCTCTCAGCTACTGTCCCATTTCTTTTTTTTTTTTTTAAGATTTATTTATTTATTCATATACAGAACTGGGGTACAGGCCAGAGATGCGGAGGGTGAGAGGATTCACCAGAGACAGAGCGGGGAGCAGAACAGGCAGATCGACAAAGTACACTGCTGAGGGGAGCAGCGGGCGGGTCAGGAGAGGTCTGCTGTGCCATGTGGATCTCCTCTGGGGCAGGCGGGGATCGAACTCATGCTGAAGTGGCTTCTCAGTGCTGTGCTTTAACCTGCTGCGCCACCAGGGAGGGCCTCTTTTTTTTTTTTTTAAGATTTATTTATGCATACAAGAACTGGGGTACAAGCCAGAGGTACAGGGGGTGAGAAGATTCACCAGAGAAGTACACTGCTGAGAAGAGCAGCAGGAGAGTCAGGAGAGGTCTGCTGGGCCATGCGGGTCAGCTCCCTGGCCGGGGAGCGAACTCGTGCTGCAGTAACTGTGGACAGCTTGATAGTGCTGCGCCTTAACCCCATGAGCCACCAGGGAGACCCAAATTTCTCTGTTGCCCGGGAAAGAGCAGTCTGGATCCCTCATGTCCACCTCACCCCCCTTTTTTTAAGGAGGTTTTCACCCCAAGGTGACCAGTGAGCTCCGGAGTGGAGCTGGTGATGGGTCTTAGTCCTTCTCTCACTCTGTTTCCTCAAGGGTTTGACACACCTCCTTGACCCACTCAGCTAAGGAACCCCTGACGCTTCCTCACTGATGTTTTTGTGTCTCTTCTACTGGCCTGTACTCCGCCTTCTGCCCTTGAACTGGCCCGACCTGGGTTGCCTCCTTGGGTTTCCTTGTGCATCTGTTCCTAGGTGATCTCAGCCAGCTGGCAGCCTGGGGAGCAGTCCTTAGGGCTCTAAGTACCAAGGACATGCAACAGTTCCCAAACTTAACACTCTCCTGCACTTGACTTATTTATGTAGCAGCTTTCTCTTTATGAAGGTGTCTGGAAGCACCTCTCTTCCAAAGTCTTGACTCACATTCCTTCCACCCCACCCCCACCTGCTCCTCGGTCTTCCAGCTCAGTAATGGTGCTCCACCTACTGGAGCAGCCACTTAGAATTTATTTTAGAAAACGTGCACCCTTCCCCCACCCCCACTCCACCATGAAGTCCCCTTAGACTCTACACAAGCAATGAGACGGGACTGCAGCTCACTCCACTGTGCAAGCCGCTGCCAGAGCCACCTCTGTCACCCACAAGAGACTCCCGACTGCCGCCAGTTGCTATCTTAACCCACCACAAGTAGCCACAGTGACTCTTAAAATGTAAATCAGTAAAACCAAAAAACACCCTAAGGAATGGGAGAAAATATTTACGTGTCACACATCTGAGGAGGGGCTAATTTCCAAGATCTACAAAGATCTCAGGCAATTCAACAGAAAGAAAACAAAGCACCCGGTCAAGAAATGGACAGAAGGGTGAAACAGACTCATCTCCAAAGAAGACATACAGATGATGGCCGTTAGCAAATGAAAAAATGTTCAACCTCACTAATCATCAGGAAAATGCAACTCTAACCTATGAAACACCAGCTTTTTCTAGTGAGAACGGCCCACTTAAAAAACAAACAAACCAGAAACAACAATGTGTGTGGAGAAAAAGGAGACTTTATACACTATTGGTGGGAATGTAGACTGCACATCCCCTGTGGAAAGAAGTGGAGGCGTTCCATAAAATATTAAAAATACATCTACCGGGCCCCCCTGGTGGCACAACCGGTTAAGGCACAGCACTAAGCAGCTAAAGCCACTTCAGCAAGAGTTTGATCCCCGCCCACCTCTGAGCTGACCCACATGGCCATGGCCGGGCAGACCTCTCCTGACCTGCCTGCTTCTCCCCTCAGCAGTGGACTGTGTCAGTCGGCCTGTTCTGCTCCCACTCTGTCTCTGGTGAATCCTCTCACCGCTCCTACACCTCTGGCTTGTACCCCAGTCTGTATGCATAGATAAATTAAAAAAAAATTCAATCTTTAAAAAAACAAACAAACGGCCCTCCCTGGTAGCGCAGCGGGTTAAAGCACAGCACTGAGAATCTAAAGCCGCTTCCGC